TTTCGAGAAAAATATGAAATATATACCAGCTCTTCTAGAATTTGAGATATCAGCACCAACTTTAGTTTTTCAAATGTAGGTCATAGCTCACTATGACTTAGTTACAAACAACTTATTTTTCTCTTACAGATGATATGGCGCAGTAATAGTGTTGTGTTGATAACAACGGGGTTATCGTCATTTATACAAAAACAAAAAAATTATTTGGAAGCCGCCATCTTGAATTTATAAATTTCAACTGAAAAATCATGATCTCCGATCTCAAAAACCCCCACTTACCAATTTTGAATGGAATCGGACCAAATCTTTTCCGCCATCTTGGAGCAGCCATTTTTTTTAATTTCAACAAAAGTTCTATAATGTATTGTCACCGAAATTATGAACACCTGCCAAATTTCAAGTTAATCTGAGTTATGGAATTTTTTTTTTATTTAAAAAAATGGCTGCTCCAAGATGGCGGACAAGATTTGTTCCGGGTGGGGGTTTTTGAGGTCGGAGATCATGATTTTTTTGTTAATATTTATAAATGCAAGATGGCGGCTTCCAAATAATTTTTTGTTTTTGTATAAATGACGATAACTCCGTTGTTATCAACACAAAACTATTACTGCGACATATCATCTGAAAGAGGAAAAAAAGTTATTTGTAACTGAGTCATAGTGAGCGATGACCTACATTTGAAAAACTAAAGTTGATGCTGATATCTCAAATTCTAGAAGAGTTGGTATCAATTTCATATTTTTTTCGAAATCACTTTGAAAAACTGCCATGAGAATGTGAAATTCCTATTTGAATATTTTCATAAATGAAGAAGTTACGGAGGAGACATGAAAATGATCAAAATCTGTTTTTCGCGTATAAAACAAAAACGAATAGATTTTATCAAAATATTTTTTCACATTATAGTTGGCCTTGACAAACTCCACATTTAGTGTCATTTAACCGACCTCGTATCTCACCGTTAAAAAGATGCCCATGGTGAGCATGGTAAGTGGGACACACTGTAGTATATCTTTTTGAAAAGCCCAAAGCATCAATATTTCAAATGTGAAAAAATATTCAAGGGTGCTTCATTTGAAAAAACATATAACATCGAAAATGGGACAGCCTGTACAGTGTTCAAAAAACTCGCACAAAACGTAATTTTCAAATTTTATCCTGTATAAAACGATTCTTCAGAAATTCTGGCAAAATCAATTGAAGATAACAACAAAGATGAAAGCGCTTTAAACCAATCAAAATTTATGTCAAACTTGAAAAGTTTTCCAACATTGAATACAAATGAAGGTTTGTCTGTATTGTCACGTTGATGAGAATAGTTATTTGTTTAACTAGGCAGCAAAGTAGTAGATTGACTGTCGAGGCTGAATTCATGCTAAGGCAGTCAATCTATTTTGCTGCCGAGTTAAACATATAATTTTTTCTCCGATTGTTCATAATGATATATATATCTCTTTATTTTTCCTGTCGTGTTCAATTAAAATAAAATTTGATAGAAATCGCAGCTGTTGGAATGGTTGGTTGCTATGGAAATGTCCATAATAATTATAGTTTGACAATTCATGAAATTTCTGACAGTTGTGCGAAAAAATATCGGTATATTTAAATTATTATATAATGGACATTGATAGCGACCTGGAAGTACTTACACCTCCAGAAATAAGGGAGGTGGCAAAAAATATAGAGTTGAATTTGTTGCCGGAGAGGTCTCGGATGAAATATGAAGGAAATTATAAACGATTTATGGATTATTAATTTTGCTGACACATATCAATCAGCAAAGTACCCACTTTGCTGCCTAGGCAGGAAAAGTGATACTTTGCTGATTGATATGTGTCAGCAAAATTAATATTTGCTGCCAATCGGAGAAAAATGTTTTTATAGCCTGGTGAAAAAATACTCACGTCGAAGAACAACTTCTGTTTGGCCGGCGGCATGTTGGTCTCCTCTTGCACTCTGGCCTTTAAGTTGCCGACACTCTCCGACAGAGGCAAAGTCAAGTTGAACATTTGGCCGGCCAGCTTCCATTCGGACTTTTCCGGCATGTGCGGAATGGCGACCTTCACGGACACCGGACCCTGAAAAAGTAAACATTACTAGCTGACCCCACAAACATTGTTTTGCTATACCGGGTGACACAGGGTATCGGGCCACCCCTGTAACTTCTGCTTTCGTCAACGGATTTTTCTGAAATTCGGTACAGTTATATAAGCAACTATTTCGGATTTGATCACATTACAATCCAATATGGCGGACTTCCGCTATTTCTGGAAATGCCAGCAACTTTGTTCTTTCAAATGAAACACCCTGTATATTTTTACATATTCGAGTTCAACAGGTCGAAACAAGTGCCATCTTTATATCAAATGTCATTTTTTCGAAAAAAATTAAATTGCAATTGTTTTTTCATTTTACCTCGTGGATAAATGAGATGTGGTCAAGACTATTCACAATGAGTCACACATAACAGAAGAACATAATTTTTTCTGAAAAATTATTTTCTGTGTCACCTATCCAGGAATCAATTCAGCCACATCACTTTTTGATTCAAAAAAAAATTTTTTTCAAATGGAACCCCTATGGGCCACCTACCCGTCTCTCTAGAACATACATTGAGGAACAAAATGACATATCATTTTTGTTTTTCGGTGTAGTAACAAATTGTATAAATTCAAAAATCAACAACTAGTTTATGAATTTCCTTGCAGTTAGATAATTTTTCAACTAGGTAAGCTGTGGAATGAATGACATTTGACATCAAGATTGCACTTGTTTTGACCTGTTGAACTTGAATATGTAAAAATATACAGGGTGTTCCATTTGAAAAAACAGAATTGCTGGCATTTCCAGAAGAACCGGAAGTCCGCCATATTGGATTGTAATGTGATCAAATCCGAAATAGTTGTTTATATAACTGTACCGAATTTCAGATAAATCCGTTGACGAATGCAGAAGTACAGGGGTGGCCCGATAACCTGTGTCACCCGGTATACATGATTTACTCAATTATTTTTTCTGTGACGGGAAAAAAGTTTGGCATTTCATCTCTGTTGGCAGGTTATGAAATGTCACTTTTCATAAATTACTTTTTTTCCGTGGAAAAAGAGTGAGTACTTTTTTCCCGGATATACAGGGTATGTCACGACGAGCTTACACTATCTTTATATCGAGAATCAATCGCGAGAAATCCATGAAAATGTGCATGCTTATATTTCAGATTACGCTCTTTTCATTTAAAATATTTTCGACGATGCAGTGTTGCCGCTTCTACTAGAAAGTAGTAGCAACATTGATATTTCGAATGGAACACCCTGTATTTTATCGCATTTCCAGATTCTTCCTGAAGAGCTGATTTCATCGATGTATCACACTTTGGGTCTATCGTAAAAGATAACAGAGATATAGGGTGTTCAAAATCGAGATTTTTCAACTTGAGGATTTTTTTCTGTCGAAACTATTCATTATTGGTCGGAACGGTTCACATGTCCCTATCTCAACTTTTGATTCACTATTTATTCATATTTAATCGGAATAGATACAGGGTGGTTTAAGATTCAGAACTCTGATCAACCTGTATCTGTTCCGATTAAATATAAGTAAATAGTAAATCAAAAGTTGAGATAGGGACATGTGAACCGTTTTGGCCAAAAATGACAAGTTTCGACACAAACAAATCCAAAAGTTGAAAAATCTCGATTATGAACACCCTATGTTGCAGAACCATTAATATAATTCATTAACTATTCAAATAATTCGCGCCGCTCAAAGTGTAGCAGCAGGAGATCATTCGAAGTACGCGCTTGACACCTGACCAGTGCAAGGTCAACGGTCAGTCCTTCAGCACTCGTAAAACATGACGGCCACCGAAAATTCCGCGTGTTCGCACATCTGCCCGCCGCCTCTTAATTCCTAGTTTCCGTATTGCATTGCAATTAATTACCTGTTGTATAGTGTATTGTCACACAAAACCTATTGCATTAAGAGTGAGTGTCGGTACTGACATTTAAAGAAGAGCAGAATTCTCCACAGCAAATGGCCCTTTGGACTCAGCAGCATCCGACAACCTTCGGTAAGTCTCTGCGTGCTACACCGCCTCTTCTGAGTATTTGTTTCAAATTGTCGTTACGCAACACCCTATATCTCTGTAATCATTTCCGATAGACCCTAACTGTGATATATCGTTGAAATCAGCTCTTTAGGGAGAATCCAAAAATGGAATAAAATACAGGGTAGTCTACTTAAAATAACAAAGTTGTTACTACTTTTTGATTGAAGCGGCAACACTGCATTGCTGAAATTATTTTAAATGAAGAGAACGTATTGTAAAATATAAGCATGCATATTTTCATGTATTTCTCCCGACTGATTCTCGATATAGAGATAGTGTAAGCTCGTCGTGACATACCCTGTATATCACATATATATACAATGTTGATGGCTTTTGTTGTGCTATAGTTCCGAAAAATGAGTCAATAAAACCGTCTCCGAGAAAGGAATGCAAGTCCTCTTATCTTCCATTCGACTTCGCGGTTACCAATATTGGAAATATTGGATTTTAGCTCACGGTTTTTTGTCTCCCTCCGCCTCGCGTCGGGAGACAACACAACCTGGAGCTAAAATTTACTACTTTTTCCCTTGTATAATAAATAACTATTATTAATCGAATGAAGTAAAATATACAGATTTCCATTAAATATTAGATACAAATATATTTCCAATGGTATCTCATTCACATATCGTCGCCTCAGAGCAACAGAAGGACATCCGAAAAATAGATTTTTCGAGGTTATTGAGGTTTTAGCATTATAAACTATATCCCCACCTACAGGAACACTAAGATAATCCTTATGAGGTCATAAAATATCTTAAATAAAAGTTCCTAATTTTATATGGAGCTAATGTAACAGGAGACAGAAAAGAGTAATTTATGAAAACTTCACACGCGGGAGGAAATGGATACATTTGCTCCCTTGATATATAAAATTGTCACTCCCACTCACCGGATTCCTCGACATGAAGACCTCTTCGGGCACCAGCGAGTCCTCGTTCCGCAACTTCTTGTTGCTCGGTTCCTCGTCCGCGGGCCCGTCGTTCGGATGTTTCATCTGCTGCACGTTCATAGGCGGCGGGCCTCCCATCTGCGGGGGTGGCTGCATTGGAGTCACGTACCCCGCCATCGGTGGGGGGGCAGTCACTACAAAGTGTCATAATAGTAAATTTTAATACAAGTTCTATAAGACACTATTTTGTTGTGGTCAAAAGGAAAAGTGCGACAGTATTTCTTATAAAACGTGTGTAATATACTATATTCTCTATTTTGCATTCATTTGTACTCTTTCAGTCAAAAAAGTTAATCAATTAGAAATATATGAAGTGAGTAGTTGTTACCAATGAGGAAACTTTTGATTGGTCATTCTCTGATCACATGAAACTTCGTGTCAATCGTGTCTGACAGTTAGACCTAACCATTGCCAACTGTGTGTGTGTGTCCTAATAGGTAGACGCTGCTTCGATAGGCATTTAATTGTTATAGTGATTTCATTTAGACGCAAAATAGAAAAATGTTCATTTTGCGATTTTGTTGAGTTCATTAGGAAACCAGAAAGCGTATTGTAACAACTTTCTTCCTTTTTTAAATGTATAATAAATTGACATTCATCATACGGAGGACGTGGAAAAAAATCTGAACATATCGGTAAGTTATATTTTTATATTATAATACATCGTATTATTCTATTCGATTTGAGAGATGATGTTAATTCTCAATTTCAGAGGATTTTGATCTTTCATGCTTTCTTTTTGGATATTCACAATTTTATTATATGCATATCTTTATATGAAGGAGAATGCAAATTCCCTACTTCAGAAGATTTTGTTTTCAAATTCTCATCGTGTGTGTTCAATAGATGTAATTCAATATTCGTCATGGTATGTAGCCAGGAAAGTAGTTGTTTTCTGTTGAATAAATCAAGAAGGAATTGATATTTTCATCACATAGAGAATGCGAATTCTCAATGTATTTCGTTATATGTATACCGGGTGTCAACGAATCTATTAGACAAGTATTTCTTTATATATATATATATCCATTTTTTTGGTGTTCATAAATATGTCTGAGAATGTTCCTCCTGAAAACTTTCTTCCTCTTCCTCTATTTTCTTTTGCTTCTCTGTTTCTTTTTCTCACCCTTCCCATATCCTGTTTTATTCTACATTCCACTCTTCTCATCTCTGTCATTCATTTTTTCTCTATCTCACCCTTCCTAGATACTACATAAAATAGAGTGACGACAATAGACCACAAAATGGGGTGCCGTTTCCGAAATGTCATTCGGTCAAGTCACTGAATAGCTAAAAATCTTGAGGGTCCAGGCAGTAATGAATTTGCGCCTTCGGAGTGCCCACCTGATGTTAGGTTTAGATATTTGTTATTTTCATTTCATCTAAATAATCCAAGACTTACGAGTCCCAAAAGATGCATTCTAATAGTTAATATCCAAGGTACCGACGTGTAGAGCTTCATGTCTGATTGTTGGATGATTTGTGTCCAATGAGAGAGAAACAGTGACAAAGTGGCATAGACTGCGTAGAACTATCTAGAGAAAACACGACTGGCGGATGCACTTCCATAATAATTGATGTCTGACCAATCAATGTTTTCCTTTATCTCTTCTTCTGCCTATCAGTTCCTTCATATCAACTGAACAACTCTTCAGAAGAGAGAAATCAAGGATTCTGCTTGCATTCTTCTGAATGGAGACAATAGCATTGCTTCTTGTTCAGTTGATATTGACAGAACATGGTATTCAAGATGAATTAATGAAAACATCCTGTAACTCATTTGATTGCTAACGTCAATGAAAACTGAAAAGCTTCAAGACAGATACGATTTTGCTATTAAAATAATCATTTCTTATGTTGAAAACGGAAGCAGATTCGGTCCCGAAACGTCCAGAGATAAGTGAAAATTTGATATATTTTCTATATACCTTTATTTCTCTTCTCCAACTCCAAACTTTTTTCAATACAAATGGGCGTGTACACCTCAGTAGAACTTTTAACTCAAACCATGTTTATAATGATCCTTTTATACATAAATAATGATTGACGACATAATTCGATCGAAAAATTAACTGGAATGTTTTATTTTTGGACATAAATAATAGTACCTTCTGAAAACGGACCTTCTTATGACGTAGAAACCTCATCTCGCCATAGTTAAAAGAAAATACCAAACACCCGACGGAGACTGAGGCAACTGATATATTAATTCTTTCAACTGTGATCTGGCGCTAATTCACTGTCAGAAATCATGTAGCATTCTTCTCTGTCTGGAATAGTCTTGTTTCAGTATTAGGGTTTTGACGTCACATCATCGCCTCGTTTTCAGAGGTGCGAAAAATCGGGGATTTCAATAATTTTTTATAAAACGAAGGGAGCTCACAGCAAGAAACGGTTTGCGGTGGTGAGCTAGTTTGGGTGAGTTCTATCGAATCATGAAAAAAAATTTTTTGTGATATAAGCCCATTGTCACTGACAAGCTAGTGAATTTTTCTTTTAGGCTCTCTGATGGGAGAATTCTTTAAAAGCAGTGACATTTTGGGGCAAATCATCTGATTTGTCCTTAATACACGTATATTGAAATAATATTCATATTTTTATTTTATAGAAACGAGGAGAGAAAATCCCGAAAAAATTGGAATAATGAATGTACCACCTCCTCGATTAACCTACAGACAGTATTTATTTTTTGATCACGTTTATACTACATATATTATGTATAATTATCATTGATAAAGTACGGTGATATGTATGTTATTTTAGAAATGAATAAATAAATAAAATATGTCTTACTCATTATGGGCGGCGGTCTCATGGGCGGCATGGGCGGCGCCTGCATCATCATGAGGGGCGGCTGGGTAGCCATCATCGACGGTTGCGGCGGCATCGACATGGGTGGCGCCTGTTGGGATTGCATCATCGGGACCGGGGGCTTGGGAGGCTATAGTGAAGAGAATACGCAAAAAGGGTCGTTACTACACGTTTTTGATTTCAATTACGAAACGTGTGGATTGTATTTCAGAATTATCTCCTCAATTTCAAAATCTGTCGGATTTGTTGAACTTTTGTAAAAGCCCCGCACCGCAGTAGGGGGGAAATTGGTTTTCGGTGTATTTTCTCGAATTTTGGATATATCGTAGAACTCGTGATGCTGATCAGATGTCCCAATTATCAACGCTCTAAATTCAATAGTTTGGATTATACAGGGTGCTGAAGTTGACTTTTTCAAAATTTCGAATGACCATTGTGAATTTTCCTTTTTGAATATCAAAATCAAATCGACTAAGTTTTGTTTGTCCATGTGGCCGGTGGAAATCCACAATGATATCTGCACGTACAGGGTATCCCACATAACATGGGCCACCCCCTTATCTGGTAAACTGTTATATATACAAAAAAAAGTTCAGGATAAAAGTTGTATTACTTCTCATGAAATTTATTTTTTAGATACTTTCATTTATACAGGATGGTCCATATGTCTGTGACTTATCACACATACGATTTTTCAAATAGAATACCCTATATTTCATCATATTTTCAGATAGTACTTAAGAAGACGAGTATAATGATATATAATAACATGGGTCTGAGATCACCCGTTTCGGATTTATACACGATCTTCTTCAATAAATTGCCAAATTTCGAAGCCCTATAGAAACGTTGCGAATGAAGTTTTCGATTCGCAGTTTCCGCTATAAATTAACAAAGTCTGTATATTATTCTGTTCTATGGTGGAAATTCAGGAGTTTTCAATTTGCCAAAAGTGATGACGTATTTTGAAAACCAATAAATATCTCGAGATTTTCAAATGAAACACCCTATATTCCATTCCAAATTTGCATAGAGCTCAGGAAGACGAGTTCAATGATATATCATAACATGTGTCTGATATCACCCGTTTCGGACTTATACACGATCTTCTTCAATAAATTGCCCAATTTCAAAGCCCTATAGAAACGTTGTGAATGAAGTTTTCGATTCGCAGTTCCCGCTATAAATTAACAAATTTTTGTATGTTTTCTTGATCCATGGTAAAATTTTATGAATTTCGCATTGGCCAAAAGTGATGATGTATTTTGAAAAACGATAATTTTTTACAAATTTTCGAATGGAACACCACCCTATTTCATTCCATCTTTGGATGAAGCTCAGAGTGACGAGTTCAATGATATATTATAATATGGGTCTGAGATCACCCGTTTCGGTCTTATACACGATCTTCTTGAAAAAATAATCAAATTTCAATGGCAAAATTCTGACTGTTATCTTCACATTAAATGAAATTTTTGTAATTTCTGTGAAACAATTCGTAATGAAGAGTTTTGAAATAAACGAATATTATCAATATTTTTATGTAATGTTATACTATTATTTCACTGGAAAACATTTTGGAAATGATTGAGCACAGGTTATTACAATTAAATTTCACCTACATTTGACTCTATACGAGACCAATGCGGGAATATTCAATCAATAAAATGTATTTAAACATTTTTTTTTGATTGTCTGTCTTATCAATTCGGATGCATTCATTGCAATAAATGTCATTTCCTCATAAAAATCGTATACCTTTCATACTGTTCAACATTTTTCATTGAATTCTCAATGAATAAACACTGGACATAAGTAAATGATCGAAGAGAAAACCAAAACTCAAAGTGGAATGACATGCCAACGAGAGCTGAGTAGGCTGTGCACTCATAGATGGGATTTTTGTTTATGTCATATCAATAACTGTCAAACCCGATTATTTATTGTTGAATTGGTGCAGAGAAACTCTTTCAAAATGCATATTTATTCTAAAGAAGAGATATTTGATCTTTATGAGTCTATTTATTAAAAAACAGAAATACTGTGCTGGCTTTGAGAGAATATCGTGACCGTTTTCCACAAAGTGTCGTACCAAACAAACAAATATTTCAGAGAATAGAGAACGATATCCGAACAAAAGGTATTCTCAAACCGTATAAGAGAACTAGAGGAAATGTAGTTTTGACCGAAGATCGTGTATAAGTCCGAAACGGGTGATCTCAGACCCATGTTATTAGATCATTGAACTCGTCTTCCTGAGTTCTATGCAAATATGGAATAAAATATAGGGTGTTCCATTTGAAAATCTCGAGATAATTATTGGTTTTCAAAATACGTCATCACTTTTGGCAAATTCAAAATTCCTAAATTTTCACCATAGAACAAAGTAATATACAGACTTTTTTAATTTATAGCAAAAGTTGCGAATCGAAAACTTCATTCACAACGTTTCTATAGGGCTTTGAAATTAGACAATTTATTGAAGAAGATCGTGTATAAATCCGAAACGGGTGATCTCAGACCCATGTTATTATATATCATTGAACTCGTCTTCTGAAGGACTATCTAAAAATATGATGAAATATAGGGTGTTCCATTTGAAAAAACGTATTTGTGATATGTCACAGACATATGGATCATCCTGTATAAATGACAGTATCTAAAAATCAAATGTCATAAGAAGTTATACAATTTTTATTCTGAACTTTTTTCTGTATATATAATAGTTTACCAGATAAGGGGGTGGCCCAAGTTATGTGGGATACCCTGTACTCACGATATACAGAGTTAATCTTGGGAAAAGGTCCATGGTAACTCAAAGTGGAGTGGTGTAGTTCATAGATGAAAAACCCAAAGTCATCTCCACAACTTTTATTGAAATGATCAAAGATCATCAATGGTACATGTTTCGGCCCATCATCAGCCGATAAAATAGTTCAAAGTTCTAGAAAAAACCGGTATCGACTTAGGATATAAATGCAATGATTGATTACTTACATGGAAGTGAAAAAAGTTGAAATTCAAATAACGTGGACAATAACAGAGCAAACAAAGGCAACTGCTCCATGATCTGGAATACAAACAGTTGAATAGATATGTAAAGGAAGTTCAGAATACCCTACAGGGTAGGTCGGCGGATTCAAGCCTTCTAATATGAACCAGTCTTGATTTTTATTGCCAATCTGACGTAGTGTTGTTCTCTGGTGTTGTATCTTCCATCAATATCTATTATTTCCATGTATCTATTTTTGTGTTCCATGATCTGGTTGACTTGATATTTGACAGTTGAAATTTTGTGGTGTCAGTGTCACTGCACATGTAATTCCTCCTATTTAGCTGGTTATTTCCGAAGCCACATCATACTTTTCATTAGTTTGATATTTTCTTGGATAATCGCGACTTTTCGGTAATTTAAGGGCACGTGGGCCCTTATAAAATATGAACCCGACCCTTGAATGATCATTCCATAAGAATTTTAAAAATGAAAATAATTTTTATACTTTTTATAAAAACACAATTTTACATTAACAGTAAGTTTTCCGATTCTGAACTTCCTTTACATATCTATTCAACTGTTTGTATTCCAGATCATGGAGCAGTTGCCTTTGTTTGCTCTGTTATTGTCGACGTTATTTGAATTTCAACTTTTTTCACTTCCATGTAAGTAATCAATCATTGCATATTTATATCCTAAGTCAATACCGGTTTTTTTCTAGAACTTTGAACTATTTTATCGGCTGATGATGGGCTTATATAAGCCCGAAACATGTACCATTGATGATCTTTGATCATTTCAATAAAAGTTGTGGAGATGACTTTGGGTTTTTCATCTATGATATACAGAGTTGGTCCAAAAATAGCAAATGTTCCAATTATTTCCGAAAAAGTGAGCGGTCGAAATCAATTCATTTTTGGACATTTCGTAGTATACTAATATCAACATCGATTCATGATAATAATTGCATTTCTTGTATCAGACTACATATTATACACAAGATGTTCAAATTTCCATGAAACCGCACCCGTCCTGATATTCATATCCATCGAATGATTGGAATCCCGTAAAACTTGGCGAGGAAGTTGATAATTCGTGATGACAATTTTTTATGCAAATACCTGAAGTATACAGGGTGGTTGTGAAAGTAGTAGTGGAGTTTTCTTGAAGTTGACGTACTTTCTGTCTTGTTTCTCAATTGCTCTGGAGGACTACATATGTCTGATTCGAAAAATGCAATCATCATGAATTGATGTTGATATTAGTATGCTACAAAATGTCCAAAAATAAATTGATTTCAACCGCTCACTTTTTCGGAAATAATTGGAACATTTGTTATTTTTGGACCAACTCTATATATCGTTAGTACGTGCAGATATCATTGAACTCTATAGTGGATTTTCACCGGCCACATGGACAAACAAAACGTAGTCGATTTGATTTTGGTATTCAAAAAGGAAACTTCACAATGGCCATTCGACATTTTTGAAAAGTCAACTTCAGCACCCTGTATAATACAAACTATCGAGTTTAGAGCTTTGATAATTGGGACATCTGATCAGCATCACGAGTTCTATAATACATCCAAAATTCGAGAAAATTCACCGAAAGCCAATTTCCCCCCTATTGCGGTGCGGGGTCCTTTGTATAACACTACTTGGAAGTTAGGAAACAACCCTCAGAAGAAGATGTATTTCAAGATTATCAATTCGATTTCATAAGGCTTTAGATGTATTTCAATATTGAAAATTCGATTTCAAAATTCGTGAAATGTAGTTCAAATTAGTATTTCGAAATTAGCAATCTAATTTCAAAATGCGTAAAATATATTTCAAATTAGTTTGGATAAAAAACCATCAGATTTATTTCAAAATTAGGAATTTAATTTCAAAATGAGTCAAATGTATTTCAAAATAAGCAATTCAATTTCGAAATGCGTGAAATGTATTTCAAATTAGTTCTGATGCAAAAACTATCAAATGTATTTCAAAATTGGGGATTTTATTTCGAAATCAGTCGAATGTATTTCAAAATTACCAATTTAATTTCGAAATGCGTGAAATGTATTTTAAATTAGTTTGGATGAAAAAACCATCAAATGTATTTCAAAATTGGGGATTTTATTTCAAAATGAGTCGAATGTATTTCAAAATTAGCAATTTGATTTTGAAAAGCGTGAAATGTAGTATTTCAAATTAGTTTGGGTGAAAAAAACATCAAATAATGTATTTCTAAATTAGAAATTTTATTTCAAAATCAGTCGAATGTATTTCACAATTAGCAATTCAATTTCAAAATGCGAGACATGTATTTCAAATTAGTTTGGATGGAAAAACACCATCGAATGTATTTCAAAATTGGGGATTTTATTTCAAAATGAGTCAAATGTATTTCAAAATTAGCAATTTAATTTAGAAATGCGTGAAATGTATTTCGAATTAGTTTGGATAAAAAAAACCATCAAATGTATTTCAAAATTATAAATTACATTTCAAATTTAGTCAAATGTATTTCAAAATTAGGGATTTCATTTCAAAATGAGTCAAATGTATTTCAAAATTAGCAATTTACTTTAGAAATGCGTGAAATGTATTTCGAATCAGTTTGGATGAAAAAAGCCATCAAATACATTTCAAAATTAGAAATTTCATTTCAAAATGAGTCAAATGTATTCGAAAATTAGCAATTCAATTTCGAAATGCGTGAAATGTATTTCAAATTAGTTTGGATGAAACAACCACCAAATGTATTTCAAAATTAGGGATCGCTACTTCACTATTTCCGCTATTTCCACTTATATCGCTAATTCGCCAAAGTGCAACAGTGAGTTCTGCATGAGCTATACATTGCTGCTCTTTTTTTCACGCTGTAAGAACAGGTGCTACACTTTGAAGATCACCGGCATCTAGGGAGCTCCCGAGAAGCGACAATTCCAGCTTTTCTTGGATCACCCTAGAGTAAATACGGCTGATCGTCTATGGTAAGCTGTTTTGACTCCTGCCGCCGAAAGTTGATTTGCGCCTTTGGTTAGGAGCAATTCATTTTTCTTTTACCACATTTGAGCTATTGAATGCCGTTGTGGCTTACAATTTCATTTCGAAATGAGTCAAATGTATTTCAAAATTAGCAATTTAATTTCATAATGCATCAAATAGATTTCAAAAACAGCAATCGACATGGGAGGTGCCTGCTGGGATCGCATCATCGGCTTGGGAGGCTGTATCGAAGAGAATGCGCCAAAAAAACTGCACCTCGTATATTTTATTTCGGAATTATCAACTCAGTTTTAGATTGCGTCAAATGTAATTCGAAATCAGCAAATGGATTTTTTTGAAATGCGTCAAATACCGGGTGACACAGACTCATGGAATAATCCCCTTTTCTCCTTTGGTTTTCTAGTTATATTTCTGAAATTTGGAACTTCGAATATGCTCACTAGAGGGCAGTTTCTCACATTTTGGGACATTCTTTATATCTTCCGGTTTTTATGGATATGACATCAAATTTCAATTTTCAAATGCAAAACCCTGTATTTTATTCCATAATCGGTTAGAGATTATCATAAGGAATGTAAAAACTTCACAAATGATAAGATTTTCACAAATCAATCACACGACATGTTCCGCTGTGTTAGCGGATGGATGAAATACCGGTACAATGAACCAAACTAACCTTGGCTTGCCCAACTTTTATATATCGTACTTTCCCAACCTAAAGGATTAGAATTACCTGTGGACAGGTTCGATAAACCTTCATTTTCGGAAAATAGGCGCAATATCTACATTAAAATACAGCGTACCGGATTATCTTGGAAGGGTTCATAGCAAATACATATCGAAACTATGGTTTAGAAATGCGTCGAATGTATTTCAAATTAGTCGCGTCAATTGAATTTTAAATTAGCCAATGAAATAAAAAACTATCAAACATATTCACATGATCAAAACAATTTCAAAATGTGACATGTGACAAAAAATGATTGATAAAAAGCTATTACTCAAAAGGCATATCTTGAAAGTATGTATGGTCATGCCAACAAATGACACTGAACATAAATAATTTGCCACCAACATCCAGATATTCATACGGAATCATCTTACCTGGGGAGGTGCATTCTGAGGTTTGGAGGTGATGACACTCTGTATAATGATTTTTCCACTCGATTTTGAGCCGATGTTCTTGGGGCCGATTTTTTCTTTCTCTTCGTCTGGAAGCAAACCTTTCACCTGGAAAACATTATTGCTTGGAAAAGTGTGAATTTTTGTAAATTCGAAATATTGGCAGGAAAAAAAAAACAAAAATTATATCTTTAATGAGAAGAAATAAGAACAAAAAAGTAAACAAATGGAAAAAATGATGAAGATATTGGAAAAAAAGAAGGAAAAATTAAACCAAAATGTAAACAAGTAAATGAACCCGCAAATTTTTAAGGTAAATTGGGTCCCGGTGGATTTTCCTCAATAATTGTTGCTATGATGTAGTCATGTGGTTCTATGAAATATTTTCATTGTGCCAACCCCCAAAAATGGACAGTTTTTTTGCCAGGAGGGTTTGAATTCACATTTTGATCGAATTGACCATTTAACTAACTGTCAAAAGTGATAGGAAATGTTTCATCACGGATAATTACGGAAACCGCATTTGTGCATGATTACCCCCCAACAAATGAAAAAACTTTGGTGGATTTCGCTGAATTTTTTATATGATGTAGTCAATAAGATCCTGATCAGAAAATTATCGGGTGACAATTCTAAAAAATCGACAGTTTTTCTGCTATAGGGGGTTTCAATTCACATTGTGAAAAAATAGACTACCACATGATTCTGAATAGAAAGACAACTTTTTTCAATATTGTATTCCTATTCCTTGATGATTTTTCATTCGAAAATATTGGGGGGTTTAAAACAAATGTGTGTGAATTTACCCCCCCCCCCTCCCAATTGCTGGGGGCAATTATGCAAGAGAGCTTTCACCATATGATATTTCTTGTGATTTGACATTTTTTATGCTTCTCACAGGAGCACGGATTTGTTTTGAACCCCCAAATATTTCCGAATGAAAAATCGTCAATGAATAGGAATACAACATTGAAAAAAGTTGTCTTTCTATTCAGAATCATGTGGTAGTCTATTTTTTCGAAATGTGAATTGAAACCCCCTATAGCAGAAAAACTGTCGATTTTTTAGAATTGTCACCCGATGATTTTCTGATCAGGATCATCCACCGAAGTTTTTCTCATTTGCACCCCCCATTTGGTGGGGGGTTATAATGCAAAAATGCGGTTTCCATAACTATCCGTGATGAAACATTTCCTATCACTATTGACAGTTAGATGGAATTCTTTTTTTTTTCTGTTTTCAAAATAGGGGTTGGGGGTACTAATTCCCCCCCCCCCCACTCTATTGTTTCTATGAAGAATCTATGTTTAGAAGTAATTAAATGGAATAAGAAGTTTTGGAATATCGTTCATTTTCTCAGAAATAAATTGTCAATTTGATCAAAATGTGATTTCGAACCCCCCTAATAAAAAAACTGACCATTTTTGGGAGTTGGCTCAATGCAAATATTTTATAGAACCACATGAACTACATAATACCAAAAATTGAGAAAAATTCACCAAGGCCCAATTTACCTGAAAAATGTGCGGGGTCCTCTATGAGGAACAGAAGAAAATAAAAGAAAGAATAAAAATGACAAGAAACAAAATAAAAAAAAAGAAAAGAAAAATAGTTCACGAAATAAAATGCACCATAAAACAATATGGAAAAAATTAGAACCAACAGAATAATAAATTGAAAAATAGTAGATTGTTTTATTAGGATCAAAAGTGACACTTTGTTTGAAAAGCGAATTTTGCATTTGCGAGGCGGAGCGTTTAGCGAAGCCGAGCGAAATCAAAATTTGCGAGTAATTTTGTAATTATGGTCAGATTCCATTCAAATTTGGTATCTGGGGGTTTTCGAGGTTAGAGATTATGATATTTTATCCAAATTGGGAAATTCAAAATGGCGGATCCAATATGGCGGACGAGTTTTGTAATTATGATCCAATTTTATTCAAAATTGATATCGGCTGGTTTTCGGGGTCGGAGATTATGGTTCGATCGTCAAAATTTTGAAATTCAAAATGGGGGATCCAATATTGCGGACGAATTTTGTAATTATGGTCAGAATCTATTCAAAATTGGAATCGGGTGGTTTTAGAGGCTGGAGATATGAATCATTTGTCAAAATGGGGAAATTCAAAATGGCGGATCCAATATGGCGGACGAGTTTTGTAATTATGGTCAGATTCTATTCAAAATTGCTATCGGGTGGTTTTCGGGGTCGGAGATTATGATTCTTTCATCAAAATTAGGAAATTAAAAATGGAGAATCCAATATGACGGCCAATTTTTGAAATTATGATCTGATTCTATTCAAAATCTGTATCTGGGGGTTTCCAGGGTCAGAGATTACGATTTTATTCTTCAAAATTGGGAAATTCAGGATGGCGGATCCAATATGGTGAAAGAGCTTTGTAATAAATAGTAGTTTGAAGAACTATAATGAAACACGCTTCTATAGATAGCCAAACTTGAGGTCAAACTGAAGAGTAGAAGTAGAACATTGATAGTATAGTTTAAAAAACGGGATAGATTATCGAACTAGAAAGAAGTAGAAGATAAAAATAGTAGTTTGAAATACTAATGAAACACGATTTCATGGATATCCAAACTAAAAAGAAGTTCAAAATAAATTGAGAAAAGTGTGCTGATGAATATTTAACTGAAAAAATATTTTCTAGAAGAAAATGTATATAGCAAAACAACGTGTGCCAGGTATCAGCATCAGCTATTGTAATAAATAGTAGTTTGAAAACTAATGAAACACGTTTTTATAGATAGCCAAACTAAAAAGAAGTGAGTAGTAAATAAATGAAAAAATGAAGAGATATGGAGTGCCGAACTAAAAAGAAGTAGAGAATAAGTAGGATAGTTTGAAAAACTAAAGATTCTCGTTTTCATGGATAGCCGAACTATAAAAAGAAGTATAAATTAAATAATGAAAGTACTTTGATAAATATTAATGTAAAAACATTTTTTCTACAAATAATGTTATGGCAAAACAACGTTTGCCGGGTCAGCTAGTATAAATATATATTTACAAAATGCTAATTAATATCTCTAGATATATATATATATATATATATATATATTTACAGGTGATAAGATATTATGAATTGTTACCGCACTTTTTTTCATTATATGATCCCCAGACCAGCTAATCCAAGCCGATTGGGGACCAATGCATTTCACAAATGATTCATGATGTGTACTATTATCATTATCAATAGTATTATCTATGTCAGTATCATCATTATGAATTATAAATAAATGCTTTCAAAAAAAATAAAAGAATTCAAATGATAGATATTGAACAAAAATACATCGAAAAAAACAACATCATCTCCCTCACCTTGTGTATCTGGTGTATCTGCTCCTCCAGCGTGATATTCGCCCGGGCAGCCCTCGTCGCCGCCTCCACGCTCGACGTGTGCCCGTCCCACGTGACTTTCTCCTCGCGCCGCGACGCCTCCTCCTCGCCGATCTTCTTTCCGATGGCCGTCTCCTCGTCGCCGACGCCGAAGATGTCGGTACGACGCTCGGCCAGCAGCTTCAAGGAGGCGTCGATGGCCGAACCGGCTGCGTATACTGTTTCTTGGTTCATTTTGTCCATCACCTGCAACGGAAAATTGATAATTTACATTCTGGAAGGTTTTAAGGATATTCTGGAAGATTCTAGAGGATTTTGAAACATTCTGGATGATTTAAGAACATTTTGCAGGATTCTAGAACATTCTGGAGGGTATTAAAATATTCTGGAACATTTTAGAACATTCCAAAGATTTTGGAAGATTTTAGATTTTGAAAGATTTTAGAACATGCTGGCATAATGAATATTCCAGAACATTTTGGAAGATTCTAGAATATCCTAGAGGATTTCGAAACATTCTGGAAGATTTAAGAACATGCTGAAAGAGTTTCAAAATCATGCTAGAATATATTTGAACATTCTGGAATATATCAGAACATCTTGAAAGATTCTAAGAATTCAAGAGGACGTTGAAACATTCTGAAAGATTTTAGAACATTCTGGAAGATTTTGAAGCATACTGGAGTACTTGAGAATATTCTGGAAGATTTTTTAACATGGAATATGCCAGAACATTCTGGAAAATGTCAGAACATTCTGGAAAATGTCGAAACATTCTGGAAGATGTTGAAACATTCTGGAAGATGTTGAAACATTCTGGAAGATGTCACAACATTCTGGAATGTTAGAAGATTCTGAAAGATTTTAGAAAATTTCAGAAGTTATTGGAACTCTACCAAAGATTTTATGATATTCTGAAAGATTTTAGAACATTCTGAAAGATTTTAGAACATTCCAGGAGATTTTAGAACATACCGATATATTTCGGAAAATTTTGGAATATTTTGGAACATTTTGGAATATTTTGGAACATTCTGGAAAAATTTTGGAACATTCTGAAATAAATCAATACATTCGGGGAGGTTTTAAAACATTCTGGACCATTTTGAATGATTCAAGGACATTTTGGAAGATTTTAGAATACATGGGAATATTCTAGAACATTCTGAGATTCTACAATATTCTGGAAGATTCTAGAACATTTCGGAAGATCCCAGAACATTTTGAACGAATTTAGGACATTTCAAAACATTTAAAAACATTATGGAAGATTTTCGAATATTTTGACAGATTCTAGAGATTCTATAGAATATGATGAAAAAAAATCATACTAGTCTAGAACCCTCTTGATCACTCTGGAATATTTGAGCAGATACTAGACAATTAAAACATTTTGGAACATTCCGGACGATTCTAAAGCATCCTTGAATATTATATAACATTCTGAAAGACTATGGAACATTCTGAACTATTCTAGAACATGAAACATTTCATATCATTCTAAAAAATTATGAATCCCCCGCTGAATTGTCGTCATTTCTGTATGATGCTTAAATATTCTGAAACTTATCTAAAATTATGAAACAATCTTGAACATATCTGAAACTTCTGTTAGATTCTATAACATTCCCAACATTCTGGAAGTTAGACTTTTCTAGAGCATTATCCATCAAGCGTTCTGAACATTCTAGAGATTTCTGAAGCATCTGGTAAATTTTACACTGTTCTTGAAATTTCTGGAAGTTTCTTTGATATTCTTTAGTATTATCGAGACTTCTGGCAGAGCCGAGAACATTCCTAAACCAACTAAAGATTCTGGAAGTTTTCATAACATTCTAGGACAATCTTGGTCGTTTTGCAACATTATAGACAAACATATTGTAAGATTCAATGACTTTCTTGAACCTCCTAGAAGATTCCATAATACTCTCGACCGTTCTCGAACATTATCCAACATTCTCAAACTCTCTGAAATAGTTATTTACCTAATTAGTATGAAAGTAATATTTTTCTGCAACAGTTAGGTACAATGTTTTCCTAAGAGTATTTTTGTCCATATTATTGTTAAATAGAAAAGTTTTTAATTAACAAGATTTTATAATAATGATACAAAATGACGCATAATATACAAAAGTTACATGGATCATTTAGTCAGTTCTAAATATCCTCATTTTCAACAATACAAAAATCGTACGGAAGAGTGAATTTTCAACACTAGTGCGGTAAAATAACTTTTCCACACGATTTTATCGATTTATCGAGCGGAAAAGTAAAAATCGCTAGGAAAAATAAAACTTTACGGAAAAGTAAAACTTTACGGAAAAGTAAAACTTTACGGCGAAGTACAACTTTCAAAACGAAAAATCTTGTGGAAATAGTATATTGTGCAACAAGTGGAAAAAGCTTTGTTTTTCTTTTCATTTTCTAACGAGTGTGGAAGTTTGTGACAAGACCCTGAAGGGCGAGTGTTGCAAACACACGAGTGAGAAAAGTACTTTTCCCCACATGTTGCACACTATACTTTTTCTACAACTGCACTTATCCAAAGAATCCAAGTAATGTAACTTATTGGTATTCATTTTATAATGTGGCACTATGCCACATTGGATATTAGGACCAAAGAGTAGACGCCTTTACTAGTTCCTCAAAGTATTTAAAAAAGTACACTTTCCGAGAAAGGTTTCATTGCTGTATTTTTTTAGATTCCATAAATTTTTCTTTCATATATGCCAATCCATACTTTTTCTTGAAATTTCCGGAAACAAATCCAACTTTCGCAGCTTATTTCACTACCTATGTCTCTGACGGTGTATTTATCGAAATCGTCACATATCAGAATGGGCATTTCCATTAATTTCCAGAAAAATCATATTTGGTTATAAATGACTCTCAAGAACCTTGTACACATTTTTTGGGATTTTTATTTTGGCCGGATCTTAGATTAAAAAAAATTATTGAAAACGGCAAAATGATCTAATGAATTCAAACGAGTATCAAAGGGAGGGAACCGTTTGACGTCAGCGCGCGAACGATTTCGATTGGTTACATGTTCATGTTGTATGATGTTGTCTCGCTTGCTGAAAAATCAACAAAAAGTTTTCCGATGTTGCCATATTACATAAAATGTACGAACTCTTAGGGCAGAACGAGGAAGAAATAAATTAACATCAAGATGGTGCAGGATATTTCAGTACCTATCTCACATAGAGAAAACTAGCAATCAAACAAACAATCAAACACAAACAAATTCAAAACTGAGGATGTTGCGTAAGCGGTTATAGGATATGTTGTGGTTATGTTGAAGATTAAGCATGGTTGCCACATAAGTTATTATATTTTCCAGGGAGGAGGTACGTTAATGGTCAAACCACGTTTAAATTTGGTATACAGTGTGTCCCACTTACCATGCTCACCATGGGTATCTTTTTAATGGTGAGAGATACGAAGTCGGTTAAATGACACCAAATGTGTAGTTTGTCAAGGCCAACTATAATGTGAAAAAATATTTTGATAAAATCTATTCGTTTTTGTTTTATATGCAAAAAACAGATTTTGGTCATTTTCATGTCTCCTCCATAACTTCTTTATTTATGAAAATATTCAGATAGGAATTCCACATTCTCATGGCAGTTTTTCAAAGTGATTCCGAAAAAAATATGAAATTTATACCAACTCTTATAGAATTTGAAATATCAGCACCAACTTTAGTTTTTCAAATGTAGGTCATAGCTCACTATGACTTAAATACAAATAACTTTTTTTCTCTTACAGATGATATGTCGCAGTAATAGTTTTGTGTTGATAATAACGGAGTTATCGTCATTTATACAAAAACAAAAAAAATATTTGGAAGCCGCCATCTTGAATTTATAAATTTTAACAAAAAAATCATGATCTCCGACCTCAAAAACCCCCATTTACTAATTTTGAATGGAATCGGACCAAATCTTGTCCGCCATCTTGGAGCAGCCATTTTTTTAAATTTCAACAAAGATTCCATAACTCCGATTAGCTTGAAATTTGGCAGGTGTTCATAATTTTGGTGATATTACATTATGGAATTTTTGTTGAAATTAAAAAAAAAAGGCTGCTCCAAGATGGCGGACAAGATTTCGTCCGATTTCATTCAAAATTGGTAAGTAAAGGTTTTTGAGGTCGGAGATCATGATTTTTTTGTTAAAATTTATAAATGCAAGATGGCGGCTTCCAAATAATTTGTTGTTTTTGTATAAATGACGATAACTCCGTTGTTATCAACACAAAACTATTACTGCGACTAATCATCAGTGAGAGAAAAAAAAGTTATTTGTAACTAAGTCATAGTGAGCTATGACCTACATTTAAAAAACTAAAGTTGGTGCTGATATCTCAAATTCTAGAAGAGTTGGTATAAATTTCATATATTTTTCGAAATCACTTTGAAAAACTGCCATGAGAATGTGAAATTCCTATTTGAATATTTTCATTAATAAAGAAGTTATGGAGGAGACATGAAAATGATCAAAATCTGTTTTTTGCGTGCAAACAAAAACGAATAGATTTTATCAAAATATTCTTTCACATTATAGTTGGCCTTGACAAACTCCACATTTGGTGTCATTTAACCGACCTCGTATCTCTCACCGTTAAAAAGATACCCATGGTGAACATGGTAAGTGGGACACACTGTATAGAGATATTTTGATGAGTATTAGTCATGACATGAAATATATGGAATTAACCGATAACTGTATCAGCTATTTATAGCAACTAAATAATACAAAACAATAATCCCAATGGATATTTGTGTACCTAAAATTATTATGGAAATACGCTATAACCCTCGGTAATATCTAATATTTTCAAGTTCTTGGTAAGTGAACAATAGTCAGCAATGTATTGATCAAGATTCAGTTATTTGAATTCCTATTTATATTATATCTAGATATTTTATAAAGACCTGGCAACTGTGTTGTTTCTCTTAGCTAATCCCGCCTCTCCGTCGCCATTACCATATTCAACCAATCGAATCACTACGCGCCCTGACGTCACAAACTGCCACCACATTTTAAACGTTTGAATATTCGTGTTTGAATCATGCAATTTCGACACTGATTTTTAAAGCAATGGTTTGGCATAAAAAAATCAAAAAAATTCTGGACTATGATTTGGATGGTCCTTCATAACATTATGACAAAAAACTGCAAATTTTTTGAAACTGAAAATGCCCATTGTTGGAATAATATTCGATGAAGAAAACTGCGATTTCTATCGGAAGCACTGTGAGAACTATCCTAAAGAATTCTAAAAACTTCTTCTGACAGTTGTGACAACTATTCAAAGCTGAACACCAGCCAAAGTTTTGATCGGTTTTTGTTGATTCTCCATGATGGAGATGTTTGTGGTGTTGGCAAAGTGCCGTGAGAAAAAATATTTCTCACAGTATGAGCAATACATGGTTTTGAAACTACTTTTCATAGCAGTAGTAGAAAAACTCACTTTTACGCTCGCTCGTGGGAAATAGCTATTTGTGTATTTAGAGCGCAAAGTGATAGATTGCCGCTCGACAAAGAAAGTTACCGCGCGATGCGGAGCGGAGCTTTTGGAAATAACTGCCCTGAAAGTATGAGCGATTGAAATAGTTGAAAAAGTTCTTATCCATATTATCCCATATGTCCAAAGGAAACAAGAAAGAAAAATTTAAACAAATGACAAGCCAGAAAAAAAAATTCGGGCCTACCGAGAATTGAAACTGGATCACCAGCATGGCAACCAGAGCTTCAGACCTATGAGCCATAGTATGACAAACTCTGCAATCAAATTGAACATTACTCATTGATGCAATAATATGAAGATACACTGTCTTTCTGATGACAACAATATAGTTTAAATATAAAGTAAAATTCATGGTTTTCAACAGATATGCTTCATCGGGAGCTTCTTGTAGAAATTAGTTGGTATATATCTTCAGCGGTGAATGTTTTGGATTTTTCTCGCTGTATAACCAATAGATTGTTTCTTGAGAAATGCGATAAGTTTCAGATACTTATTGATTCCGATATTATTTTTAACATTCAAGCATGTATACGTGTACCATCGAATATATCGACCAATGAGTTGATGACTTCAAAGTCTTTGATTTTTTACCAAAATAAGCCAGGAAAACGTTTTCTGAATACATATTCACCATCTCGGAGTGGCACCAAATTATGAATGAATCATATTGTAATTCATATTCCTTCCTTGATTTCTCCGGTAAGAGATTCACACTCTTGCGCTTTCTGCTATATCAGGAGGCGTGTTTGATGATCCACTGTCACTATTTTTCATCATGGAAGAATTAGGGGTTTTCAAGAATAGATAAGTATAGGTTACAGAGATGTGCGAGCGTTTTTTCAATATTTCCGCTCACGAGCGCAAGTGCTGTCGAAGAATGACATTTCTGGGAAAACGTCAACTTTGTGCTGGAATTTGAAAGCGTCAAAGGCTATTTTGTTAAGCGTTTGTAGAAAAAATCTATAGCATCTACGGAATTCTAGAAAATTCCATTACATTGTGAAACAATTCAGAACATCAACATTCTCAAACATCATAGAAGTTTCAAGGACATAATAGCAAGCCTTCTTGAAACTCGAAACAAAAATACACTCTCAAATTTCCAGAAATTCAATTCCCCTCATAGCCCGTTGGATGGTAGCAATCATTCGAAATATGGTGTACATTACGATCCCCCACCCCCCTCACGGGACAACTAACCTGCTTGTCGCGCTGCTCGACCCACCTAGGGTCCAACAGACCGATGCGCATGTGCTCCTGCACTTTGCTTGCGGGGATTTTCTCCCCAGTAATGGGCGACACCAGATAGTCGTCGCCTACTGTCGGTCTTGTCACTTTGATGGCTAGAAAAAAGAAAGAGGGGATTGTAGACGAAAGTATCCGTCGATGTGTAGTTTTTATCAATTATGAAGGGTGATTCGTTAAGTTAGTCATGGAAACCATCCGTCCTTCTCAAAGGGGCCCAAATAATTTTTTTTTTTTTAGAAAAACAGTGTATTTCAAGTCGATCGACAACAATAGGGAATAAAGTGGTATTTGAAATCCCTAGACAAAAAGTACATAGCCCGACAAACGGAAGGGGTATAATTTGTCTAGGGATTTGAAAACACTTTAGTTCTGAGGTGTATACAGTTATGAAGCGATTCAACAATTTGTCACTGACATTGAGAATGAGAAATGGACAGGACTTTTTGATATGAATGAAGTAGACCAAGCTTTTGAGTACTTTTTTGAAATATTTTTATTTTATTTTGATATCCAATTTCCTAAAAGTGCCATAAAATCGATTCTTTTAGAAATAAATGGCTAAATCAGGAACTTAAGTCGTCCAGCCAAAATTCCTTCCAAAAGACCTTCATATGTTGAAATTGAAGTTTCCGGAGTTGACAGATATGTATAGAAAAGCAAAACAAAAACAAAAACCTTTGATTATTACAACAAAAAAAGAGTATTTTCAAAATAAAATCAATAAATCCGACAATCCAACAAAGTCGACATGGCAAATAGTTGCTGAACTATCAAATAAAACAAAAATTGTTCAAGATGAAATCGAAATAAAAGTGGGGGACTATTTCGTGAATGAACCAGCGACTGTAGCAAACTTATTTAATAATTATTTCATAGAAGAACCCCGAAATATCGTCAACCAAATCGATTGTAAAGGTACTGATTCAGATTTCTTTATTCAAAAGATTGCAACATCATGTAACTCTTTTTTCCTCACCCCGTATGACCACGAAGAGCTATATGACCTACTAGGAATAAAAATGAATAATAAGTTTTCTTCAGGCCACGATGAAGTACCCATGTTTCTCTTGAGTAAAACACTCCATATCCTATCCAGTCCACTTTAACATTTGGTGAACTTATCATTTTCCACTGGCCACTTTCCAAATATGTTAAAAATTGGAAGAATTTCACCAGTATTCAGAAAGAAGGACAAACATTCAGTAGAAAACTATAGAACAATAACAGTGCCATCAATATTTAAAGTATCCGTCGATATGTATTTTTTATCAATTTTGAAGGGTGATTCATTAAGTTAGTCATGGAAACCATCCATCCTTCTCAAAGGGGCCCAATTTTTTTTTTTTTTTAAGAAAAACAGTGTATTTCAAGTCGATCGACAATAGGGAATAAAGTGGTATTTGAAATCCCTAGACAAGAAGTACATAGCCCGACAAACGGGAGGGGTATAATTTGTCGAGGGATTTAAAAACACTTTAGTTCTGAGGTGTATATACTATTTTATGCTCTTAAGGATAGGTATTACGTTGAAAAAAACGAAAAATAATTGAATGCCACTAAACGGTAGGTACTCTATTTCTAGAACGTCATCGTCATATCTATGGATTTAAAGCAACATTTTTTCCCCAAAAATATGGAATAAAGGTACACTTTAAATCCATGAAGTGCATATCAATTAAATTACACAAATTGTATTGTGACTAGTTACGGCTCAAACAGCCACCTTCAGACAGATTAGTACACAGTACTTGTGAAAAGATTCAATTTACAGAGGAACGATGAGTTGTTGAGGGAAAAAAACAATATGGCCATGTGGAAGTCACATTATAAAAATAAAAAGACAAATGCGAGAGGAGAGGAAAGGAAATAAGAGGAAAGGAGATGAAAGTAGAGGAGAGCAGAGGAGAGGAAGAGAGGAAGAGGAGAGGAGAGGAAGGGGAGAGGAAGGGGAGAGGAAGGGAAGAGGAAGGGAAGAGGAAGGGAAGAGGAAGGGAAGAGGAAGAGGGGAGGAAGAGGGGAGGAAGAGGAGAGGAAGAGGAGAGGAAGAGGAGAGGAAGAGGAGAGGAAGAGGAGAGGAAGAGGAGAGGAAGAGGAGAGGAAGAGGAGAGGAAGAGGAGAGGAAGAGGAGAGGAAGAGGAGAGGAAGAGGAGAGGAAGAGGAGAGGAAGAGGAGAGGAAGAGGAGAGGAAGAGGAGAGGAAGAGGAGAGGAAGAGGAGAGGAAGAGGAGAGGAAGAGGAGAGGAAGAGGAGAGGAAGAGGAGAGGAAGAGGAGAGGAAGAGGAGAGGAAGAGGAGAGGAAGAGGAGAGGAAGAGGAGAGGAAGAGGAGAGGAAGAGGAGAGGAAGAGGAGAGGAAGAGGAGAGGAAGAGGAGAGAAAGAGGAGAGGAAGAGGAGAGGAAGAGGAGAGGAAGAGGAGAGGAGAGGAGAGAGGAAGAGAAAAGAGGAAGCGGAGAGAGAAGAGAGAGGAAGAGAAGAGAGGAAAAGGAGAGGAAGATGAAGAGGAAAGAGGAGGAGAAAAGATGAGAAAAAGGAGAGAAAGAGGAGAGAGAAAGAGAGAAAGAGAAAAAGGAGAGAAAGAGGAGAGAGAAAGAGAAAAAGGAGAGAAAGAGGAGAGAGAAAGAGAAAGAGAGAAAGAGAGAAAGAGAGAAAGAGAGAAAGAGAAAAAGGAGAGAAAGAGGAAGAGGAGAGAGAAAGAGAGCAAGAGAGCAAGAGAGCAAGAGAGAAAGAGAGAAAGAGAGAAAGAGAGAAAGAGAGAGGAAGAGGAGAGGAAGAGGAAAGAAAGAGGAAGAGTAGAGAAAGAGAAGAGAAAGAGGAGAGGAAGAGGAGAGAAAGAGAAGAGAAAGAGGAGAGGAAGAGGAGAGAAAGAGGAGAGAAAGAGAAGAGAAAGAGGAGAGAAAGAGTAAGAGGAGAGAAAGAGAAAGAGTAAGAGGAGAGAAAGAGAAAGAGAGAGGAAAAGAAAAGAGGAAGAGGAGAGAGGAAGAGAGATGAAGAGAAGAGAGGAAGAGGAGGGAGGAAGAGGAGAGAGGAAGAGCATAGAGGAGAGGAGGAGGAGAGGAAGAGGAGGGGAGAGGTGAGAGGAGCCGAAAGAAGTAAGGAAAGAACGGAGGAAAAGAGGAGTAGCAGGGAGAGAAGGGAGAGGTGAGAGGGGAGAGATGAGAGGAGAGAGATGAAAGGAGGAGGAGGAAGAAGAAGGAACCACCATATGAACGAGCGGCAAATACCGTTCGTCAACTTACCTTGCTTGGGATCGTACTTCTTGACCAGCACCTTGTCGGGCGCCGGCGGCAGCGGTGGCTGTACGGAGGGCGGCGGCGGCGGTCTGGGCATCTCGTCCTCGTCTTCTTCAGAGGAGGAGGAGGCCTCCTCCATGTCCTGGACGCGGTTGTCGTCGCGTCCCTTGCGAGGGCCGGTTCCGCCGGCGGTCGTCTTGTCTTGCATCACGCTCAGGCCTTCCTCCTGAGAAAGAAAAACATAGGTCAATCGAATGGTATTTTTTAGCACGTGCAAAAAATTCAAGTAGTCGGTTTCTCTGCAGTTTTATATGTTTTTCTACCACTAGCTATATAAGCTACAATTATTTCCTCCTTTTCGAGGCGTGAAGTGTGTTTTTACTACCAAGGTACAGTTGTGTGCATAAACAAGTTGTACAGCAGTTATAGGATATTGCGAGTCAGACTTGTCAATCTTGATTAATCTTCTAATCAACTTAGACAAGTAATGTCAAAATTCAGACTATTTTGTCAGTAACGCGCAAATCTGGAACATCTTAGACTGGTTCACACCATACTAACCTTGTACAACTTGTTTATGCACACAACTGTTGTTTTCGGCAAACTACAAGTCAACAAAGACAGCCACCTCTGTTGTTATTAACCTGAATTCATTTTTATTATGCGAGATTCGTAGGAATGGCACTGGAATCTAGTAGTGTATAAAAAATATTTTGAGGGTGCTCAATCTAAAACTGAAGTTTTCAAACAAAAATTCCTGGAGCATTCCGAGATATTCGCGAAAAACAGCGAAATTTTCGCACTCTCTTCAGTTCTTTGTCCGTAACTAGTCCAGAAACTATACATTTAGTGGCCAATTGGATAACCAATACTTTCATTATTGTTGAAAAGGAATATTCTCAGATAAATTATGGACATACAAAAATGGATATATATTTATATGAAGCAGATCAGATATAATTCAATGTTCGACGTGGCAAATAGCCAGGAAAGTAGTTGTTTTCTGTTGAATATTCAGAATGATGTGTGCATATACATATTTTTGTCTGAAGGAGAATGAAAAATTCTCAATTTCAGAAGTTTTTATATTTTATTTTCAAACTCTTATCGTGTGTGTTCAATAGATATAATTCAATGTTCGTCGTGGCATATAGACAGGAAAGTAGTTGTTTTCTTTTGAATAAACTGAAAAAGAGTAGATATTCTCATCACATAGAGAATGCGAATTCTCAATGTATTGCTTCATATATATCCATTTTTGTATGTTCATAATTTATCTGAGAATATTCCTTTTCAACACTTTCATACCCAATCAGGGGGTTCAAACTTGACCGATGGAAACTTGTGATTTTTATAGACCTCTAACGCAGATTCGTGATAGAGTCTCAATTCAGAATTTCTTTCCACGCCCTGTATAATGAATGACAATTTATCATACACCCAAAAGCGAATACTTTCATTATTATAACTAGCTGTCCGGCCCGGCTTCGCACTTACAAAAAACGTCAAAACAGCAGTGTCAAGTACATTGGTGTATCCATTAAAGAAAAGAAGACATTTGTTGCAGTTCTTCTGAGCTATTTGCGTACAGTACATATTTTTTTTGCTGACCTATTGCAACTATTATATATTCACACCTATTATCATTCTCTAAGTATATTTTGTATTTTTTTCGTTGTTTTATGAATATTTCAACCCAATCGGTCGAACCGTTTAGTAATTGACGTACTGACAGCAGCGCCACCTACCACGTCCAATTGTATTTTTGAATCATCCAGGATACCATCGAAATACCCATATAAAATTTCAACCCAATCGGTTTAGCCCTTTAGAATTTATGATAAAGATAAATAAGGAACGATAATCATCACTACCCGTTGTCCCCTTACCAGTTTTCCCTACCTTTACTCTTTATAATATAAGTATAGATAATTAACAACTTCCTTACACCAGAACTTGTTCGTGACTAGAAGTCACACTTTCAATAAACAAAACAAATGAGTTATTTCCATATTCAATGAAAAAACCGCTATGCATAGAAAAAACCTCGATTTGATAAAAAAATCTGATTTATTTTTTCAAAAAAAAAAAGGTAATTCTTTGCAACTCTGCTAATGAAAGAACGTGGTGAAAATGAAAGAAAAAATTGAAAGTACTCACAGTCGCCGGCGTTTCTTCGTCATCGCTCTCCAGCTGCATCTCAATGTCTTCCCCATCTTCAATCCTCTCTTGTATGAGGATCCTCGCCCCCACTTCTTCGGGAGTAGTTGGAGGGGGGAAATTTCCGATTTCGAACGGCTGATAGTCGACCGTTTCCACCACCACGAAATCGTGCCAATCAATTTGGGCGTAGGCGACTGAAAACCCACAAGGTGGAATGTTTAGGACAAACATAATAATTGTACGATTTCATGTTCTAACATTCCTCTTACGACGTCCTCATGATGAAAGGGCATAAACGAACTTGGTAAATTTTACAGGAGCCGAAAAATACGTTTCATTATCATACTAGCTGTCTTACCCGGCTTCACACGGTTGGTGTACCCATTTAAAAAATATGACATTTGTTGCAGTCGCCCTGAGCTATGCGCGTATCTACAGTACATATTTTTTTGTTATTTTATTTTTCAATTTGTTGTGATTACCTATAGATACTATTATATGCCTACACCGATTTTCATTCTCTCATTATCTTTTGTGATTTTTTTTGTTGTTTTACATATTGAAAATTTCAACCCAATCGGTTAATCCGTGTAGTAGTTGACGTACCGACAGCAGCGCCACCTATCGCGTCCAATTGTATTTTTCTATCATCCAGGAAACCATCCAAATACCCATATAACATTTCAACCCAATCGGTGCAGCCGTTTAGAAGTTACAGGGTATAACATGAAGTTATCGTCATGTTGTAGCCATCTAGTGGCAATAAAGCTCTAAGGTAGGATACAGAAATCGCGACACACACTGTATGGCGCTGCTATCTACAGTCACACGTACAGACCCTTACGTCTATACGCTACAGAGTTGTACTACAAGTAAACTACTCTGCTGACAGGTGGCACTACCTGACATACTTGAGTGGAATTTTTCCACCACCTATTCAACTGATAGATCTCATAACTAAGAGATCTAGGATGAACAAAGTTGCCCCAATTGTCAGCAGGAGCGAGACAGTACTGTTTCGACCCACCAGGTCTCATCAGTCGCTCTCGGTCTGCTGACAACTGGGATCAGTTTAGAAGTTATGTGGAAAAGATAAATCCTGGAGGATAATTCTAACTAAGCGTTGTCCTATTGTCACGAATAGGGTTATTTTCTTAAATTTTATTTTAATTCATTAAGGGTTCGAAGTCATTGAACGGTCACGTCTGTGTTTATTATTTCCAAAATTATTAAATCACGAACTTTCGATTTGTAGTTGAACATAAACACAGGCATGGCATTGACTTCAACGAACCAGGAATATCCACCTGACTTCCTCACTGTCACGTTTCCAAAAATATAGTTTGAACATATAAAAGGCGCGAGGAAGCCAGCACAGGTATCATTCAATTCGATAATTTCATTCGATCATTTACCACTGTGCCCGAACCGTCGGAGTTTGGGACAGAACAGAAGATGCCCTTCCTCTAAGGTCTCAGAAATATTAGCATAATAAACACATACGTGACCGTTCAATGACTACGAACCCTTTATGAATCTAAATGAACAAACAAACAAACAAACAAACAAACAAACAAACAAACAAACAAAATAACCCGATTCGTGACATTATTACCGGTTTCCCGTAGGAATGAAGCATTTTCCCGCGGTAAAAAGTAGCCTATGTTCATCAGGGATAATGTAACAAACAAACAAACAAACAAACAAACAAACAAACAAACAAACAAACAAACAAACAAACAAACAAACAAACAAACAAACAAACAAACAAACAAACAAACAAACAAACAAACAAACAAACAAACAAACAAACAAACAAACAAACAAACAAACAAACAAACAAACAAACAAACAAACAAACAAACAAACAAACAAACAAACAAACAAACAAACAAACAAACAAACAAACAAACAAACAAACAAACAAACAAACAAACAAACAAACAAACAAACAAACAAACAAACAGAAAACAAGCAAACAAACAGAAAACAAACAAACAAACAAACAAACAATACAATAAAATCTTTTCTCTTCATAATATTAGTATAGATAGTTCAACTATATTCTGAATATTTTGCATGAGTATTCCACTAATATGTATGTCGTTTACGCCTTTTTTCAATTTCTCAATGGTGCTTGAGCCTTTTTCAAAGGCGCTTACAAAAGTTGAGTTTTTTACGACTTTTTATTATTGTGTGATGAAATAAAACATGGGGATTATGACTCAGAGAAAATTAATATTATTATAATTGTTAGAACTTGAAAAAAAAAAACATACACTGTAGTGAAAAATAGGGCAGAAAATAATTCTGATTGATATTTCCTGAAGTAAGCTCTAAAATATCTATTTATAATTTTAAAATTTCGAGTTATTCCAACTTAACACAATAAACTCAACAGAAACTATTGTTATTGTCTCAGAAACGATTGAAAATTTCTCAAGAATATTAAAAACATAAAACAACATCAGAGGTGCACGATAGAAAGGTGAAAATTGAAAATGAAATCAGAGGCGTAAGTGACTAAGCAGAAACCAGAACTCAGAGTGAACTTCAGAAAGGATCAAGTGATTTTTGACAAAATATTGAATCAGGTTGGTACCAAATTTATTCGAATTATTGTCACTTTTCTCATTGAACAAAAAAAAACGTTTTGAATACCCATGCTCTCGTTATAGGGAGATGGAGTTTACGCCGACCTAGAAATCAAAAATGTAGAAGGGCGTATCCAACATAACAAAAAACATCGATTTTTCACTGGGCTTGACCATGATTTCAACAACAAAATAAATGTACTTCAAATGCTTGCTAGGATATGATTCAACATTTGAATAGTCATTAATTCTCAACTTGTTGAGGATACATGTGTAAATTTCGATTGGGCGTAAGCACCACCTCTTCCTATGGGAACTTGTCGGATACTACCAAGCAAGTCGATGCTTATTAACAGGAACATTCTTGTTGCTTAGGAAATTCGAGACCACATTACTCTTGGTTCGAATATTAGTCTTTGCACCATTGGATAGACACGATTTTTAGCAATCATCCGCCATAAAAAATAGTTTCTGAAATTCTGACACTTACGTCCTTTCGTCATGGCGACGTCGATATAATGATTGTAGACTTTTATATTCTTTCTAAAAGTATCTTTAGGAAATTTCTCATGAAGTAGAATGTTCAAGGGAAATTGATTGCACTTCTTTATATTCAGGCAATCGATTTGAATGTAAGCGTTCAAGTGGAAGACAATTTTTCATCAAAAAATTTATCACAAAATGTTTTTTTTAAAATGAAATTGATTGTTCTTATATTCGTATTTTTACTTTTTTACTAAACGATTTGAGCATGACGGACCGTCTTGAAAACATTTAATGCACGCCTTTATATTCTAGCATTCTCATTTTCCAATATCAAAACTGAAATGGTACCTAACGGGAATATTATAAGGATTTGCCTAAAAACATGCACAGATTAGCCTTCATCAAATATTGACAATCAAATCCCAAACCCTGTATATTATTACACCATAATTGCACATATTTAAGATATTTGGTAATCATTACAGGGTGTCGAAATAAAAGCACCTGATCAGTCAGACAATGGAGACAGTTTCAGTTTCAAAAATAGGTGAGTAGGTAAGATTTTTGATCGAAATATGAACCCGCTTCATGAACCTCCAAATATTTTTACCTCGCTCCCTTTCCAGAATTTCTTCTTCTTTAGCTTTTTGTGCTTCCTGGTATTTCAGCCACTCTGCTCGGTATTTCACTTGTTCCAGAACAGAATTTGCACTCTTCGCTTCATCTCTGAGGCGCTGCTGCATACTTTTTGGTGGAATGAGAACCTACGGTATTATATTTTCATCAACTTTAAGAAATTATTGAAAAGGAATATTCTGATATATGAACATGAAGAATATTCTTTTTAACCCAATCAAGGAGTTCAAATTTGAAGGATGGAAACATGTGTTTTCATAGACCTCTAATCGCAGATTAGTGATTGGGTTTTCTCAATTCAAAATTTCTTTCCACGACCTGTATAATGATATTTTATTTATTTCATTCTTCACTATAAACATTACATTGCATCTCATATAAATATAAATATATTCATTAACATTTACAATGGAATAACATGAATAATCAGACAGATTCATATCTAGTATGAGCTTATTCATGCGTTATCAAATTAAATTATAGTTATTGAAATAAACAACAGAATCAAAAAATAATAATAATAAAACAAAAAGCTCATGAAAAGTACATTATGACATGATGAAATCATTCACTCAAGTTCGATTTTATTTTTGCAAGAGGATATGTTTCTTGACTTCAATTTTGAATTGGGTGATATTTGTGCAACTTTTGATATCATCAGGTAATTTATTGAATTTTGAGATAGCTCCGTGAGTGAACTTTTTTTGACCAAGTGTAGAATTAGCAGCATCAAGATGAAACAAGTCATATTGTCTAGTATGATGTTCATGGATTTGAGCATTCCTTACCAATATGAAGTAAGATTTGAGATGTTTGTTGATAATATCAAAAGAAATTTTGAGAGTAATTATCAGACAGTGCTCTTCCAAAGAAAATGTATTTGTTTCTTCATAAAGTTGATTTGATGGGGTGTCATATGCAAGACGATACAGTACTTTTAATGCTTTTTCATATAATACAGATATTTCGTTGGAATTACTCTTGGAACATAAACCCCAAATATTTATGAGATAGTTCATTTTACTAAGGATGTGAGAGTATATGCTATATTTGGGATAAGTTTTGGACATCTGTATGATGAATATCAATTTGTCATAAATCCAAAAACTTTATGAAAAGGTCAGGTTTTTAAGGGGTTATGTCTCTTCAAATGCTTTTCTTATGTAACAGGGTTCTCCATCGAAGCGGCCCATCCCTATATTTTCCAACGAAAAAAAAAAAAAAAAAACAATATACGCAAGTTGAATGCCGTTTTGAAGTTCTTTCACAGCCCTTATCGGATGTTTAACTGGTTGATTCCTGAAAGCGTGACAAACCACACAGTTTTTAATATTTTTCTCAAAATTTTTTTGTATAGCCTCGAAGTTTCATTTTAATATCAAAATTTCGACTTTTACCTCGAAATTTCGATTTTCAAGACAAAATCTCGACTTTTATCTCAATCATATGATTAAAATATAAGGAAAGCACAAAGTAAGCTCCATGAATTTTTAATTTGAAAACATCGAATCAGGAACATGTTTCGGACATTATGCAATGTCGATCTTCAGCCTATGCTAAGAAGTCATAGAAATGAAAAGGTTATATTATATATTTTTTATTTTATTGTCAAAAAAGGGTTTTTTTAAGGGGTCCTGTAGAATACACAAATTAACTAACCTATTTATCGTATGCATGAAACACAATGCTTTTACATACAACCGCTTTATTCGGATATCACTGTTCAAATGAATCACAGCTGAACTGTACCCATCCAACCAGCTGAATCATCATACATAAATTCCTTATATAATATAAACTACGTAGACAGCATAGGCAGGAATAAGTCTCAGACACTACATGGATCGTCTAATTATGGAGGACGATGAGGCTTAACCATTCACTATGTAAAGCTTGGCACTGATATATCTATGGGAATCTTGGGTTTTTTATTTCTGCAGTACGGTATTCAAATCTTATCACTGTTTCTTGTTGAATATGTGTAAATATTATTATGCCGTAGGACATTATCAGTTGAAAATTTTTTATGAATGAATAAAAGGCATTACATGATATAACAGCAGCATAAATAAAGGTTCACAATAAGATCGAGAGCTACTAAAATTCATAATACGTATTGCTTTCTTTCAAGCTACAAATACTTTATCTTTGTTGCTACAACCACCTGCTCAATAAATTACTAATACTCTCTTCTTCTTCTTCTTTTATGTTTCTTGGTTTTCTGGCTCCTTGCGGTACCAATTTCACCAGATCCGGTAAGGACTAATACTCTCAATTTGTAATATTTTTATTTGGAACATAATCTTGATTATGCCGAAAACATGACACTCGTGACAGATATGTCAAGATCAAGATGTTTCCACACGGATTATTTGTTCCGCCCTGTCTCTTTTCCGTCCTGCCTCTAAATGCTTCTAATCAGCAATTGTTGAATTCGTGCATCATCAACGGGACTTTTCAGATCCGGAAGAAGGAAAACACATCCTTGAAAGTCTAGTTCAACTTCATAATAAGATTCTAAACGCATTTTGAAAATTTTTCAAGAAATCGTTCACGCCATCTATCATCGATGATAAGAACCCAACGTTCCGAACTCGCATTCAATTGTTCATATCGAGAGCTAGTCTGACGAAACAATTGAAGAGTGGACACACCAGAGGAATTATAAACATCTGAGAGTTGACATGAACTATACCTTTTCAACTTCAATTTCGGAATCGGTAAGTTATATTTCGGAAAAAGTAATCTCGATTTCAGAATTGGTTAGTTCGATTTCAGAAATGGTAAACTCAATTTCAGAATCGGTGAGATGAATTTCAGAAAAAGTCCATTCAATTTCAGAAATGGTAAGTTTTATTTCAGAATTGGTAGGTTCAATATCATGAAAAAAATCCTTATATTTGTTCGAAATGTTTCCAATTGCATGTGAGATTAACAAACCATATTTAAAATATTCAACTTTTCAAAAACAATTTAATCCATAGATGGCTTCCATCTGAATCGCTGGAAGATAGTGGCGTTGCACATGATTATAAGAATGCAAACACATTTGAGGTGTTATCATTTTCATTGAATGATCTGCACATTCTTCAAGACATCGAAGTCTGAATTCTATCTGGTTGAGCAATCTGTTCGGATCTCCAGCTATGACCCTTTGGCGATGCTCTTGCAAGAAGCTTTTCACTTCTGATTCAACATAGGGCTCTCAAACACCGTTCCATTCACTGTAAACAATCTTCTCTTTTGCAATTAAAAACATTTTAAACATATAAAAGGATTTCATCTTCTGAAATTGAACCCACCAATAATAATTCTGAAATTCAACTTACCATTTCTGAAATTGAATGGACTTTTTCTGAAATTCATCTCACCGATTCTGAAATTGAGTTTACCATTTCTGAAATCGAACTAACCAATTCTGAAATCGAGATTACTTTTTCCGAAATATAACTCACCGATTCCGAAATTGAAGTTGAAAAGGTATAGATTGCTATTTGAAATAAGAAAGTTGGTGCCGACTGTTGGCACACCCTGTAAAGTTGGAGGACTAGAAATATTTCAGGTAGATTGGAAATGATCGATTATAACAGCATATCAATTTCAAAAGTTTTATCCCAGATGCAAGTTGAAAAACTTCTAATGTGTGGCCTGTGCAAATCAACTCTGTATCTACTGGGTGCCCCAAAATAGCTGGGACACAGGGCTACCACATGTAATACAGTTCAATATAAGTTGATTGGACCCAACTTATTTACAAAAAAAACCGTTTGTCCCTGAGACGAGTTCAAAGTTTACATAAAAAAACATTATTTTGTGCGCTGTTCAAAAATGAGTGAAACAAATTGAATGAAATTTGACAAAAGTGCATTTCAGAAGACAACCCTTCTTTCAGTAATCAAATAAACCTGAGAGAAATTGTAGAAGGGTTGAAACCATCCTTTGTTGAAACCATCCTTTCCCCCTGATTTTTTTTTTCAGAGATGACTGATTAATCATCTTCCTTTTGTTACTCTTGTGAAAATTTTGTATCCCGCATAGTTCCGAAGGAAAAAAATGTTTTCTTGAATAATTATTCCGCAGTGGAAACAAACGAATTGACATTTATATTGATGGAGGTAGGCGTCATATTGAACATTATTTGAACAAAAAAAATCTGCATTTGTTTTCACTGTCTAAATTAACCAACTAATAACTAAATTTTTCATTATAAAGATATTGAACTTTTACGAGGTATATCTGTTTGCAATATTTAAGAAAACATATTTTCCTTCAGAACTATGCGGAATACGAAATTTTCATAAGGGTCTGAAAATTTGAGAACAGTATTACCACCCCTAAGAATGTTCTGAAAAAATGTCAGGGGGTGAGGGTCGTTTGAACCCTTCTACAATTTCTTTTGGGTGGCTTTGATTACCGAAACGAGGGTAATCCTCTGAAATGCACTTTTGTCAAATTTCATCCAATTTGTTTCACTCATTTTTGAACAGTGTACAAATATGTGTTTTTTATGTAAAGTTTGAACTCGTCTCACGGAAAAACGGTACATTTTGTTATTAGAATATAGAATAAGAATCTTGAAATTCGAAAGTCGGAATTTTGACATAAAAGTAAAAATGTCTAGATAGAAGTCGAAATTTCCAGGAAAAAAATCGGAATTTCTATGGACTGAAAAAATAAAAAACCTGTGGGACTTTTAACGCTTCCGTACAAATAAATGACTCACCTTGGTATATTGTTCCAGCAGTTTGGTGAAATACTGGAACAGAGAATGCTGAGGCCTCAGGAAGTCGAACTGAAAGTTCCTCTGCTCTCTGTTCATCAGCTGGGTCAAGAAAGCTCGGCCATTTCTGGCTACGAATTGGGCAGTCAGTTTTACTATGTCCCTGAAATTCAAGATGGTCAGACACTTCCAATCATTTCGGATTCGACATACTACTCCAGTCATTCAAGGAGGATAAATAGTAGTTTAGAATACTAAAGGAACACAATTTTATAGATAGCCAAACTAAAAAGAGGTAGAAAATGAAACAAAAGGATAAATACACAGCATAGAAAATATGAGCACCTCCGTAATCAGTACGTTCCATGTTGTGTATTCATTAACACCCTTTTATTATTTTATTTTCTACCTCTAGTGTTTTTTTTTTCATTTTTTATAAGTACCCAATTTTCACGAAAGTGTCATAATCTCCGACCCCGAAAACCCCCAGATGTAATGGGCGTGTACACCTTAGTAGAACTTTTAACTCAAACCATGTTTATAATGATCCTTCTATACATAAATAATGATTGACGACATAATTCGATCAAAAAATTAACTGGAATATTTTATTATTGGGCATAAATAATAGTACCTTCTGAAAACGGACCCTCTTATGACGTAGAAACCTCATCTCGCCATTGTTAAAAGAAAATACCAATCGGCCGACGGAGACTGAGGCAACTGATATATTAATTATTTCAACTGTGATCTCGCGCTAATTCACTCTGTCAGAAATCATATTGTATCATTCATCTCTGTCTGGAATAGTCTTGTTTCAGTATTATGGTTTTGACGTCACATCATAGCCTTGTTTTCAGAGGTCCGAAAAATCGGGGATTTCAATAATTTTTTATAAAACGTAGGGAGCTCACAGCAAGAAACGGTTTGCGGTGGTGAGCTAGTTTGGGTGAGTTCTATCGAATTATGGAATACAATTTTTTTGTGATATGAGCCCATTTGGTCAGTGATATATCAGTGCAAAAATGGATATTTCGAAATACGTTATTGGAGTGTTCTTGTCGATTTTAATTTTTCAACTTCACCGCCCTGTATCTATGAAACGAAGCCATTTCGGACTGAGGTAAAATGCCTCAAATCGGCAAATTTGACCTCAGGAATATGTAATCAGATTTTGTACAGACCTTTCAGAGACGCCTTGTATAATATTTTATACTAACACAAGGAATAACTATATACAATTTTTTGGTGATGGCTGTCGTGGTCGGTTATATTTTGTTGATAATAATTTTATTATGGTTCACCTTGTATTGATAATGATTTAGTATCAAGGGGTTTGGAGAGAAGAAAGGTGTTGTCAGAAAAATAATAATAAATATGTCACTGCCGAAATATGTTTTTATATATTCAATCAAGAATTGAAATTAAGGATTCGATAATGGCTCTTAATTTTATGATTTCGTTAGAGTAAGAACTGATCTCACTTTTTTTTTGTTTTAAACACAATCTTCACTTGAAATCTCGCTTGAAACTCATCACCATCATGTTTTATGTTTTTGTGGTGTACTTTGTTTGTTTTCAATTTGGTAGATCGTTCTACCAATGGAGTTTTTCGGTTAGGAAAAATTAATGAAACTGAGTTAGTCGCAAATTTTATGCTCTATAATTTTTATGATAGGTCTCAACATCATTAGAGCTATTCCAGTTGACACAGACTCATGGTATACCCTCCTTTTTCAGCTAGATTTCTGAAATTTGGAACATCGAATATGCTCACTAGAGGACACTCTCTCACATTCCAGGATTTTTTTTATCTTTCAGTTTTCCTGGAAATGACATCAACTTTGAATTTTCATATGTAAAACCCTGTTCGATTGGGTTATTTCAAACGATTACGAAGATATTCACGTTAAAGCTTAGGAACTAACCCAATCCTAGCTTCGATAATTGAACATTTTCTATCCGTCTGAAATATTTTCATAGATACAGTGTTGCCACTTATATCAGAAAAAACTAGCAACTTTGTTATTTCAAATGGAACACCCTGTATTTTATTGCATATTTAGATTCTGCCTGAAGAGCTTATTTCATCAATGCATCACACTTGTGGTCTTGCAGGAATGATTACAGAGATATAGGGTGTTCAAAATTGAGATTTTTCTACTTTTTTGAATCAAGAGTTGAGATATGGACATGTGAGCCGTTTCGACACAAAAAAATCCTAAAGTTGAGAAATCTCGATTTAGAACACCCTATATCTCAGTAATCATTCTTGCTAGACCCCAAGTGTGATGAACCATAAAATCAGCTTTCCAGGAAGAATCTGTGAATTCAATAAAATACAGGGTGTTCTTTTTAGAAATAAGGAAGTCAATAATAATTCCGGAATAACTGAAAAAGTGGCAACACCGACGGTAACATTTTCAAATCCACCAAGTTTTGAAATCACCCTGTACATATATTCAGAAAAATCTAACAAATGGTTACCGAGATATTCACCTGGTTCCATACTTTTGCCCAAGCCTGTATACCAGGTGATAATTTGATTATCCTTAACTGGACGGCTGACATACTTAGTTCGAACACAGATAGAATTCATGTTCTTATTCTCGATGCATTGGCAAGTAAATTAGTATCGTTAGATTAGTCAAAAAATCCTTTTTTCGGAAAGTACTTGTCAAAAAATGGTTGCCATTTGAAAAATATTAGTTAGATATGGAAATGTAATTTTATCAACTTGTCTTATTCCTATCTATCATACTAGTCACTACAACTTTGTGATTATTTGCTTAGATCACCTGAGGTCCATAGATAAATTTACATCCGATCATGGCTATCTAGATGCAATATTAAAAGTCACTAACAAAATGAAGTAGGAGTAAAAACTACTGAAAATGTCACATTCTGAACCAGAATTGTCCCAGAAATTCATAAATGTGTACTTTATAATTATCGAAAAGCAGATGTCTACTAACGAGAGACCTTTCAATTTATTTTGCACGTTTTCATTGTTTACCCTGTGGTGTTGTTATTTTTTTCCAACTTGGAAAAATTGTTTATATCATTTTCATAAATTATTCAGGAGAACGAAAGTATGCGAAAACGGTTCATGAATAACCCTTGATTGTTGGTGACTGTATACTAAATTCATTTCACCGCCAGTGACGGCTCGTCAGGGACGGCAGGGTCGGCCGGGCCGTACCAAATAATTTGGGGAAATTTACTGAACTATTTGATGAATACAATTATTTTCCGAAACTGTTTTCATAATTCATCGTTCATTATCCTACTGTTATGCCACTATTATTTCAATTTCATTCACTGGAACCTTTGAGTATGCCAACCGCATATACTCCGAAAATCACGAACTAATTCAGGACCTACATCTGGTAATCCCATCGTCAAAACGCCGCTTTAAGTTGAAACTCTCGCGTAGCTCATTACACTGATGCAGACGGCCGGCCGATCGGTGGTCTCTTGTCTCGATGCATCGCCTACAGATTCCCCGCTTCAAGTTTGAATTCTGGCGTATACGCGAACGATACGCGTCATACCTTGGGTGCGGCCAAGCTCTGCTGGCCGTCCGTACGCAAGGATAATCAGTAGTTTGCAGTGCGCTCGCTGTGCACCGTATCCGACCATTCCGACCTAATTTTCAATATACGGATTGGCATGATTGACATTCTATTTTCATTTTACATTGTAGGTATTTATAATTTTTATTCCTATACTTATTTGTAAGTTGATGTTGAAATTTGAAATGTACAAACTGAAAAAAAAAAAATCGATGTTTTTGTTCACGCTTGCAGTAGTTGCAGTAAAAATGACTGGTGATTTTTGAATTTGCAATTTTTCAGTGATTCATAATTCAAAATATCGATCTAATATTGGTATCAGAATTTTCCTTCAGTGCCTCTGAGCGTCAATAAGTTATAATTCAATTTGAATATTGTAATGTAACCTACTGTGCCTCTGCCTATGTAGGTAATATGGCAAGAAAAATGTCAGCAGTCCAAGAGCTGAGTAGGTATTGAAACATCGTAAAAAAGCTCTGGTGACGGAAATGTAATAAATGTATAACTTCCAGAATATCATTTATTTTCAAAGACGCATGTAGCGGTTATAAATAATATTTATGCATCCATCGCGGAAAACATTATACCAGAATACCAGAGATTATACACTCATCACTCATTATACCTACGGCTGCACGGCGGGCTCGGCCAGCCGACTACAGGAACGGCGTAGACCGATTTAGTCATTGTTGAGCTTCTCGCGTTAGGTGAGTGGTTGTCGGTTATGTTGATTTTTTTGAGTTTACGTTACGTTTTCAACAGAATATAAATATTTTTTGTTCACGAGTTATTTTATCTTTATTTTCTTTCATTTTATTTTTTCGACTTTCTTGTTATTATTTTTTCATACCAACTAACCCTTATCCACCTCCTTTTCCTTTCCCCATTTCCCCTGGCGAGAATGCTCTAACCTCGTGGTTCTTGCTGGACAATTTAATTTTTTGGTTATGTGTACAGGGTGATTCACCATGTCCCCCCCTCTAGCTCAGTTATTTTTAAACCGATTTCAAAATTTGAAATATCATCTTGAATGATTTTTGATTGAGTTTTTTTCCGCTACATCAGAAAATACAGGGTGCTCAGAACAAACGATCTACAGGGTACCATTTGATTTTTTCATATGGAACAACCTATTTTTCATTGTATTTTTAGATTCTCCCTGAAAAGCTGATTTGCTCAATGTATCACACTTGGGGTCTATCGGGAATGATTACAGAGATATAGGGTGTTCAAAATCGAGATTTTTTAACTTTAGGATTTTTTTGAGACGAAACTATTCATCATCGGTCAAAACGGCTTTCATGTCCATATCTCAACTTTTGATTTACTATCTACTGACATTTAATAATTGGAACAGATACAGGGTGATCAGAATTCTGAATCTTGAACCACCCTGTAAATGTTCCAATCAAATCTCAATAGACAGTTAATCAAAAATTAAGATGGAAACATAGGAGCCGTTTCGACCAATAATGAATAGTTTCGAGGCAACAACATCCTAAACTTGAAAAATCTCGATTTTGAACACCCTATATCTCTGTTATCATTCCCGCTAGACCCCAAGTGTGATGCATTGATGAAATCAGCT